ATATATATATATAAATATATATATATATATATATATATATATATATTCAGTCAAACATCACTTAAATTATATTATTTAATCTTTTTTTTACGTCTTTGCTTGCCATAAAATGTTCATCTTCAGTTTTTCACATTATCTCTTAACTGAATTAAAAAAAACTCTCATGAAAAAGTTACTTTGTGAAAAGAGGTTAAATAGGCCTCACCGTGACAAAGCTGCATGTGGTCACACAGTTGAGACTAGGAAGGGAAAGGAAAGCTGTGGACTGGTAAAAGGGAAAGGGGGAAATTCAAATAATACAAGAGTAGCAGGATAAATTTGGGCCTTTGGTTAAAATACTGGATTTGTTGTCATTTATGCTGGAGCATAAATAAAGGTTAAGCTTTGTGCAGTTTGCATTTTAGCACCACATCTTAAATACTTATCAACGTGATTTGTTTAGAATGGCCTCTTTGAATAACTTATATCTTGTTTTATTGACAAAAAGCAGTAACCATCGTGGCCCTGATGGACTCACAATGAAATCAGCTGCAAAAACCTCCGTATAGTCATTACGCTCTCCAAAAAGTGGTTTACATTTGAATAATAGATTTAATTTCATTTAATGTGCATCTTGGTAAAATTAGAACAAAACTAATATTGCTCCTTTAAGAGGTTATTAAGGCATGGAAAGCAGTGTATCCGAGCCACGTTTGCCAACGGTGTAGAGTCCCTCGCATTAAAGCACAAAGCTACGGCAACTTTTCATTTTCACCCAAAGACCAACTCATTAATCAAATCTTGATCCAAACTATGCTCGCAGGAAGTAAACCGCCCTCAGGGCTTTAAAATGTGGGCTTTAGAGAAAAGGGAGCGCCATTATAATCTCAATTCAACAATATAAACTTTAATCAGGGCTTTTGAAAAGGACAGGACTTAGGTAGCTCAGTCTGGGGTGAAACTCTCATGAAGGTTGGAGAAATAAGAGAACGCATCCTTGAATTTTAGAGATATTGTGTAATCTAGAACCCCATTAATCATCACCACCTGTCTGTCTGCTTGTTTGTCATTAATTATCGTGGGCTGAGGTTAATAAAGGTAAAACATTGGGGAGGGAAAATTAGGAACAAGAGGTTAGGTTCAAAGAGTTTGTAGTTTTTTGGCTGGTGCTCAATCATCAAACCAACATTGCATTATCTACACAGTACTGTAGTCCAAAGTAAAAAAAAAAGTAAAATAAAACAGGCAGGATGGTGGGAAAATTTCTTATTTCAGCTACTAAAGAAGTATCTAAATGCTCACATAGTTTAAAACACTGAAATTGTGCATAGCAAATGTAACTTTATAATGGGGTACTGTGTACATACTACAGAGGGTGAGATGGAACGACAACCAGCCTTGCTTTAGGACTTCTATACAATAATATATTAATATCTGAAATGAAAGCAATAATGTGGTTAAATAATTTTAATGCAAGAGCAGGTAAATGCTATAAATCATAATATATCATCTGTATCTCAATTCTATTTACAAGAGTTTGACACATAGCTGGTTAGAGTGATTCGTCAGTGAATCTGGCAACACGTCAGAGGCCCGTTGTTTTCTGCGAGAGCACTTTCCACGCTCATCTTTCTCACATCACTCCATCTCTCTTCATTTTGCTTCTCCTCACACCTGTTAAATCCAACTCAAGGACATCTTCATCTTGTTTTTATATCTAACTTTTCTTTCAGCTAGTGTCTCTTTAATCCTTTTTTTCCTCTTTGTTTTTTGGGGGTTTTTTACATCCATCGCTTGCTAAAATTTTCTCAGCTTAGTTGGATCCTTGGCAGATAGGGCCTTTGATCTTTTAAATGGAGAAGAAGAAAAAAATGCTACATTCACATTTTCACAGGTTGTTCAAGTTGACATCAGCAGTCTGTGTTGTGGTTACTCTCGCCGCTCGTTTCTACATCTGCATCTGAACTCCTCGGTCCCAGCACGGCTGCTCAGGTGCAGTAAAAAGTGAGCCGAAACTTTTTGCGAAAGCGCTCCTCGTCTTCCTCCTCGAGTGTAGAAAAAGCTGATTTAAAATCCAAAGCAGGTCTTGAGACACTTTGCAGGGATTTCTTGACTCATCGGGCGATGAGATGCATCTCCGGGGATCCGGTTTGTATGCAGTTCCCCAACATGCAACACACAGATGTCTGCCTTCTCATCCTGTTCCTGAAAAGTGTCGCTGCTGATCCATCTGTAACAATCCTGCAGGGTAATTAGTAGAGGTATTTCAGTCTGTTTCATGTGTGTGTGAATATGTGTGCTAGTGTGAGCTTTAATGCTGTCCCTGTATGTACGAGTGTCTGGCTGCGGTTATACACGTGTGGTGGAGTGTGTGTGTGTGGAGATGTGTGTGTGTGGTAAGTGTGTATTACTATATGGGCTATGGTGTGTGTATCCTTGGTGAGGGTGCCCCATCCTCATCCCAGCCACCGATCCAGGTGTCATGGGGGTCATAGGTGTTGCAGGAGTAACAGGGTGCGACCCTGGGGTCACGGGCAGCGAGCCTGGGGTCAAGGAGGTTATGAGGGGAACGTCGTCCGGCGAGCGGCGCAAGGTGAGGGTGTAATCGGGCGGACAGGTGAGGCGCACGGTATCCAGTGTGCTGTAGATGTCCTGGGTGTCCAAACCGTCCAGAGCATCAAGAGTATCCAGAGTGTGGTGGTGGTGAGCGTTGTTTCTCTCGTCTGCCGAGGCTACGTCACACTCCAGCTGCTTCACCTGGACGTTTCAAACGCAGAGGAAACAAGAAAATGTTAGCGTTTTACAAAATCTAGGACTAAAGTTGTTTATTTTCTCGTATTATTAGGGATAAATAAACCAAATAGAGAACAAAGGCAAAGCAGTGTTCTCTCATCAGAATAATCAGAGTCAAACCTTTGACTTGACAAATCTTTATGTGTCAAAACAATTTACAAATATCAAGAAACACATTTATTAATTTTGGTATTAGTGAAAACATTTTTTTCCTAGAATTTGAATGTCATCCATATATAACATGTAAAAGCATATTACTATATTTTTCTGCCTAAAAGGTGCCGTTTTTTGCATAATTTCCATGCCCTGCGACTTATTTATGTTTTTTCCCCATATTTATAAACCAATTTTTGGCTGAGATATGACTGTTTTCATTCATTCTGACTGAAAATATTGAACACTACCATTTTCAGCCACTAGATGGCACTCGAAAGTATAGCATGCTGTTGTGTCGTGTAATAGGTAAAAGTGGCTATTAATGACACAATTGGCTTACCCTAGTCTGCCACCTTTGTCCAGCTCCAGGATCATGCCTGGAGCAACCATCAAATCAGCTTCATTTTGTTGTGCCGCCCTGGCGAAATGCAGCTAATTTGACCATTGAAGTGCATTAATTAAGTAAAAGTTCAACTGAGACACACCTTTGCTATAATTTTGAGCAACCAAATAATTGCTTTTAGGTGGTTATCGTGTTAAAATTCGAAGAAATGCGCAGCATTCCTCCTGCCTGATTTCCTCCTTAAGAGCGCGCTCCCGGAATACCGAGGCAGAGAATACTTTTGAAATGCAGCCGATTTGACAGTCAAAGTGCATTTATTAAGGAAAAGTTAAACTGAAACACACGTTTACTATAATTTCAAGCAACCAAATAATTGTTTTTAGGTGGTCATCTTGTTAAATTTTGAAGAAATGCACAGCGAGTTGTCCCTCTGTGCGCTCCCTCTTCTGCAAATCAGCTTTTGAAATGCAGCTGATTTGACCGTAAAAGTGCATTTATTAAAGAAAAGTTCAACTGAGTCACACCTTTGCTATAATTTTGAGTAAACAAATAATTGTTTTTATGCATTTATCTTGTTAAATTATTGTTAAAGTCCTCCCGTGCACACTCCCGTGGCTTCCAATTGATTTTTGGCACAACACCGGCCCGCATTTCCAGGTTGTCAGCGGTGATGTGTAATAGATGCGACTTATATGATGAAGCGACGAAGTTTCTTATACATATTTGGACTGATACGACTTATACAGCAGTGCAATGTGTACAGCGGAAAATATGGTAGATATAATATTAAGGAAACTGGAAGTGTCAGCAACAATGAGTGCAGTACTACACACAGGTCACTGAAGAAAATATCATCCAAATCAAATATAACTCTATAGTTTATTATTTTATTTATGTTAAAAGCTTGTTTGATTAAAGGCCTTGAAGTAATTCATATCACTCACTCCCTTTCCCAAAACAATTTTAGACTAAGATCATCTTTCATTGAAAAATTATGGAGTTTCAGTTGTTTTGGTCAAACCTTAAAAGTCATGTTTGCACACGCTCAGAGTATGTGTTGAGAATGACTCTTAGCTACTCAAACACAATCATTAACAATCACTTTTTGCAAGTTTCATTCAGATGTGTCCAGTGGCAACAGACACACAAACACATGCAGACATAGGTCAAAACACAACAATCCACCTTTGCCTTTCAGCAGCAGGTTCTAAAAATGTTTGAGTCACAAAGCGCAAGGCATCAACAAATGCTCCTTTATAATCAGACACAAAAAAAATCCATTAAAAACAGAGGATTCAAGACACATTAATGCCTATTTTACATGTTTTGAAACTCAAGCATTTTACTACCCCACCAAAAAACCATTATGAGTGCTGAAAATAGCAAATGGGTCATTTTATACAATAAATTTGAAAATAGTGTGTTGTAAAACCAAAGAATGTGATTTTTTGTTTGTTTGTTTCTGGTATAGGCTTTAAAAAAGACAGTAAAAAAACAATACATGCAGCTGTGGTGCTAGTTCAGTTGCTAATTATCAGGATTTGTCTGCTGTAAAATAATAGCTGGCATTTATCACTCCCTGTGTGATATTTTGCACGAATACAAGAAGAAAACTTAAAGAAAAAGCCAGATATTCAGTTAATGAGTAGAAGGCAATGAAAAGTAAGTCAGGCAGTTGTACACCACTCACACATGTACGCACCAAGATTATGTCTGCTGATGACAGGGTGTGATGTGCAGGAGCACTCTCTGCATGCAGCTGTGCTTCTCACAGTCTGAGAGTTCAGTCTTCTTTTCATGCAACCTCAACTGAGCTTTATGTCACTGATGCATACAAGATGTACTAATAACAGCAGGCATGAATGTTTCTGTATAACCTTTACAGCTTTATAAAAGCTGCAAGATTCATGCAGTGGAAGTCTAAACTTAGCATCCCAACATACAGACCAGTTTGCTCACCTGTAATGACATTAGTCCTTCACCCTGCAGGTGAGCTGCAACATCTGCAGGTGTAATGTCCCTTCTAGGAGGAGGCAGTGGGCGTGGTCTTCGATGCTCCAGGCGCCGTTTGTCCTTCTTATACAGCAGGGCTGCAAACGCAAGTATGTTGAGAAACAACAGCGAGGCTCCGACAGCGATCGTCACCGACAGTTCGGTGGAGTAGTCCTCCTTTGGGACACGAATGCCATCTTCTCCTCCATCCTGCCCTAAAGCAGACTCCGGTGGCTGTGGGGTGCCTCCCTGGGATCCCGGGTGGAGGGTACTGATAGGAGGCCAACCTTTGGATAGACGCTTGGTGTAGGAATTGGGAGTTTCATCCCGTGGAGAGGGGCTGTGCGTAAAGGAGGACATGGGCAGCAGGAGTTCATTGATGTGATGCAAGTGAGGGACCAGCTGGAGCCAGAAGGAGATCTTGGTGGCACGGTAGTGGTCTCTGACACGAGGCTTGAGGCCAATGTGGAGGTACAGCTGCTCTTTAGGGGTGTACTTAGACCAGGCAACCTCCTCAAAACGGTTAGGTTTTGTGTGGATGAACTTCGTATCTTGAGGAACTGGCTGGTTTGGATCTCTGGTGAGAGAAAAATAATGGAGTATTCATAAATAAAGGTTGATTGATTGATTGATTGATATGTATGTGGTTTTGTACCTGTCACAAGATGATAAATTAAATATCAGTAAAATATCTCATGTAGAATGAAAAAACATTAAATAAAACTGCAACATGACAACAAAGTTGTGATCAAAACTAGAAGATTTCTGGGACAAAAAAAAACATTTTGGTTGGTGCGAATGCAATGACTGTTGGGAGTTTTTGGTCATTTCACTTGTAAACATGTATGGGTCTACAATATTTTATCCAGGAGATATGACAAAAAGGCTCTTCACTGTCAGTATTGAGGAGAAACGTTTCAGATACAATAGAAGTCAACAGAAATTTGGGTGTGCACCAACTGCATTCTGGGGGATTTGAGAAAAAAACATAAGTCCTATAGCACTTGGAGACACTTTGGTGTATAAACTGTATAGAAAGTGTAGGATTGTGGAAAATAAGAAGAGTTTGTTTGCAACATGTTTGAACAGGCAGCACAAAATTCAGGGACATCTTCACACTTTAGGTTGAACATTCTTATGTAAAATATTAACTGTAATTGTATTTAAAAACAAATAAATAAAAAACATACAAATCCCAGTTCAGTCCTGTAAATATCAACTTTCCATGACCTGTTTAAACTTTTTTGCTCTTACTGTGAGAAATGCCTCAGAGGGGTTGGACATTCAGATTTTGCTCATTTCATGTATGCTGTACAAGATTGTGCTACCAAAAATCATAACCTCACACCTCTAGATGCAGGAAGAGGGCCACCTGCATCATGAAGGACCCCACTCACCCAGCACACACACTTTTTGCCCCGCTCCCCTCAGGAAGGAGGTTAAGGAGCATTAAGTACAGAACCACTAGACTGAGGAACAGCTTCTACCCTGATGCTGTTAGACTCATGAATCTCTAATCAGGATAATCACTGTGAAGAATCACATCATGTTGCTGCTGATCTGTTTCATGTTGCTGCTGATCTGTTTCATGTTGCTGTGTTCATGCGTGCTCATCTGCTCACACAGACTCATGTTCGTGCTGCTGTTTGACATAATGTTTTTTATGCTATTAGTGCTTAGTGTATTATTTAGTTGATAATTTTCTTAGTTTATACCTTAGATCTTATTACTGTTTTTCTTTTGCATTTTATTGTTGGATGTAACTGGGACCCTGCGTACATAATCTCATTCCACCACATGTACCACATATGTTGTGTATGACAAATAAATCTCTCTGACTCTGACTCTGATAACACTATTCTCAGTTGAACAGTACAATTTGGTGCAAATCTTTGTTGAGCTTTATTAAAGCTATGCAAGAAGACGCAAATTCAAATTTGTAGCTGAAACAGACAAGCAAATATGATCACGTTTGTACTCTTTGGCATCCTTACTGTATCTGTATGAGTTGAGCCAGGGGTGTCCAAAGGATTTTATATATGGGCAAAAACTATCAAGATGAAAGCGCTCGTGGTGGGCCACAAAAATATGAGTTTTTTTCTCTCAACGTGAACAATATTTTGAAGAAAAGACAAAAGTTTACAAATTTTGGTGGAGAAAGAGTTTTAAATTGTTGTAGATCCAAAACATTAAAAGCCTCATAAACACTAAGCTTGTGTTTTTATTAAAAATGATTTGATTTGTTTGGTCTACGTTTGTTGCTTTCTTGTGTTTGGAAAGTTAATTTTAGTTTGTTCTCAGCAACAAAAGCATAATTTGAGTAAATGTCCTTTTAAAAGGGTCATCAGACTTTTGTCCATGGTCGGCCCAAAAGGCTGATCGAAGATCTGAAAAATCGTCCCGCTGTCAGTCGCTACAACAGATTCATAGAAGGTTTGATAAAGTTGATCAACTCGTATGCAGATGATACCACGTTATATTAATTTAAAATGTCCAGTTTCCCTCTTGATTATTTTGTCAACTGTGATATTTAGACAAGTTTTATGAATCATTATCCAAAAGTCTCCTTTCTGGTAGAAATCAGTAAAACTTTTTGGTGCGTTGTACTGTGACGTAAAACAATTATAGCAAATGTTTGTATTTTGCTTAATGTTGCTCATTTTGAAAATACAGTTTTTCATCTGTTTTGCAGCTAAACTTAAACATTATATAAAAAATGATTACCAACTAATATGTAGAAAGTCTGCATCGACTTAAGCCTGCTGGCCAAAATTATACCATTCTTAAACTGCAGCTGTGGGCCGCACAAAATCCCTCCAAGGGCTGCAAATGGCCCTCGGGCCGCACTTTGGACACCCATGAGTTAAGCAAAAAATGTAGAGGTTTCTAATTGATTTAATAAAAATATTTTACCTTTTGGCATTTAATTAAAAAAAAAATTGATACAAATATTTAAAGTTAATTAAAAGTTGAACTGAGATGATGCACATTTGATCAAATGCTTCAGTGATAAAAAACCAATTCATCTAATACCTCCTGATCTATCACTTCAGAAACTTATGGGAAACTCACCTATAATGTATTTGTTTGAACTTCTTAAATGTCACAAAGCTAAAAATAAATAAATAACTAAATAAAAGCTTCAGAGAACTTTTCCTTAGCTGTCAGATGTCCTGTAAGGAACCTGAGTTCCTCTCAAGCTGGCCAACAATTTCCCCAGACACCTTTCCAATCAATATCAAGGTAACATAAAACAAACCAATAGCAGCTAATATTTCCTCAGAGGAAATATAGTCTCTTTCTTACTCTGAACATAACTCATTGGTGATTTATTTGTAAATCGCTGACTTTTGTCCAGTTTATACAGCGGTTACAAAAGTGTTTTGATGCACAGTTTGAGCACCGGCAACATAAAACTGAGACAGAGATGAATGAGTGTGTGCTAAAGTGGGGATATCCCAACAACTACACAAAAAAACACCTTCTTGAAACATACAAACAGACACTTCTTAGTGTCAAGAGCTAAAAGGTTGCAAATGAAAACAGGATCACATTTTTACAGCTGTGCCTTTATCATATATTCCTTCACTTATCAGTGCACCAACTATACGAACACTAAAAAGGCTGCTGATATCCACATGCACACAAGCTTGGAGTTAACACCCACACAAAAGCTTAAAAATATACATCAGAGAGTGTTGCCTCCCTGGTTAAACTGAGCTGTCGCAGAGCTCCATCATCATCAGAGGTGCCCTCAGCAAAGGGAAATCTCTTTTCAGAGAAAGTTCCCCATTGATAATTGAAGTATACAGCAAACTCTTCACATCCCTCCATCGTGATTCCTCTCAACAGCTTGCTGCCGTAATGACAATACAGGCTGTGCTAGAAACTGCAGATTTAATGCGACGCTACTGCTGTAATGCATCCACATTAAAGACAGCTTTCCTGGTGTCAAAATATGCCCGGTCGCTGTCCTGGTTCTTGCTTTTTCTGACTGCAAGGAGAATATTTAGATCAAGGTCTAGACTGCAGATGTCTCTGTAAATCTGAGAAGGTCTCAGCGGAGTGAACCTCGATTGGATTAATTATTGGTAATTACTCACTTCTAGCTCTGCAGAATGGAGGTCCACCTTCAACAATTACTTTTATCTTGTATTTCAAGTCAGTGGGGAGATAAAAAAGAGCTCTTATCAGTGTGCGCTGTCTGGTTTTAATGTGGATTCTTTTTTTTTTACTGTGACAATATTTTTTTAGCTACTAGCAGATATTTCATTTTGCCTTTAATAAATTGAATATCTTAGCTTGAGATGGTTCTTTTTGAATACACTCTTTGTGTATGCTTTTTAAAAACAAAGTCCAAAGGAAGAGTTGTCACAGTCTGTGTGTCAGCTGCAGTTCTCATTTTATGACTGTATTTGAAATGTTTTTTCATCAAGAGAAAGATTTTCAAGGACAAAAAACATAACCTTTAACTGTCAGGGCTTTATCACTGTTTTTCTTCTACTTCAATAAAACTCAGCTGATTTTTGTAGAAATGTTCCATCTAAATAAAATCTAATATTTCAGGAGTGTGATGGTTGGTGCTGTTGCCTCACAACTAGGGTTGGGCTTCGTTTGAATGTGAACATTTCTGGTTCCGGTTCCGGTTCTGGTTCCTCATTTCCATTCCAGTTCCTATCAATTCTGGATTTTGATTCTTTTTAGAAGCTGTTTTTTTTTTTCTTTAGTTTACATGGTATAAATGAGCTAGCTAGATATTTGTAGATGAAATAATTTGAACTTCTATTTGAATTTTAATTCTATGAGCTTTTTACTTTTTATTAACTTTACTACGAATTTCTCACAGGGCTATTTTCAACCAGTATATAAATATTAAACTTATGAACTTTAATATACTGTATTTTACGGCATATAAGTCATAGTTTTTTGCATAGATTTGTCAGTCCTGCGACTTATCCGCCGAAGCGACTTATATACGTTTTTTTTTCATATTCATAACGCAATTTTTGACTGACGCTTTCAATTTCGAAGACCTGCAACAGCGAGTCCTCCTGTGCACATTCGCTTCACTGGTGCAGGCGGAGGAACGCTGGAGAGGTTGCAGCTCTGGACTCGATGGATGGATGGATGGATGGATGGATGGATGGATGGATGGATGGATGGATGGATGGATGGATGGATGGATGGATGGATGGATGGTATTTTTTGTGCCACCCAGACCAAATGAAGCTGTTCTGACCATTAAATAAATGCATAATTGGTGCAACTTATATAGTTTTTTCCTCTTCATGATGCCTTTTTTGACTGATGTGACTGATGCAACTTATACTCCAGAGCAATTTATACACTGGAAAATACAGTAAATGTTGTGAATTTTCTTTTCACAGGAGTACACTTTCACAAGAACTCTTTATGTTTGAAAGCCTCATGAAAACATATTTACACATGTACCACAACCTGAAGGTCTCTGGTCCAACTCATTAGACCTGGGCTTTCTGTGTATAGTTTGCTTGTTCTCCCTGTGCACCTGCAGTTTTCTTCCAAAAACATGTATTTGAGCTTACTTTGCGACATTAAATTGACCTTCGGTGTGAGTACGAGTGTCTCACACACCCCGCTGAACCTAAACATAATTAAATAGGTTTTTTTTAAATACCAGATTTGGGATCTATACTGACAAAATGGTTAAAACAAAAACTATGTTTACAAGTTTATCACAGTACATTTTTCCAAATACCATTTATCAAATGTATGATAATATGTGGTGTAAATGTTTTTTGTTGTATTTTTTGTATAAACATGGATGTATATATTTTTAAACTGTACATCTGCTCATCGTTAACATTACTCAGGCCAAAAGATAATGAAACATATGGAAGGCAAATCAGTGCAAAGTGAAGAGGCATGAAGCTGTTTATTTTCATAAAAACACATATTTTAATCTCAGCTGTCATATTTTAGGCTCGTTGGAGATTTGTTTTTGTAAAGTTAAGAGTGAGCTGTCCACATTTGAACAAGCATCACTACATGTTGCCAAATTCCTCATCCCTGCAAAGACATTAATTAAAAGAAGAGCTTGGTTTACCTAAATTAGTGGTTTGTTTTAGTTTTTTAGACAATTTTGATGTTGAAAAGAATAAAAATCTCAGTGTTTGTATGATTTTCTTTCCAAATGGTATTTGAACAACAAAGAAATTATTAGCTTACCCAGTCTTGGCAAAGTTAGTCCAGTAAGTCATGACTACTGCGCTCAGCATGACGTCGTTCTTGGAGAAGTTACAGTTGAACAGATCAGTGGGACCCACCATGGGCACGCCAAACACATAGGGCACCTACACACACACACAGATACACACACATGCTCAAGCTCAACAGCTGAATCATGTCAAACACTTATTAAACTCAAGTATCTAATTCACTTCAAAATTTAACCATCATTCCAAATCTATAAAGTAATCTGTTGCGGAAATTCATTTATACACTTTATACATACACAACCTGACAAAAAAAATGTCTCTATTGTTGCGCTTACATAATGGAGCTGGCGGCAGGTTAAATTCAACAAAAGTTTCTGCTAAAAGCTGAGGCAGACAATAATTTCATGGCGTCAATGGGCACAAATTCCCAAACGTTCAAAGATTGTAAATAAAGTGGCCTAAGAAAAACGTTAGACTTCGACAACGCCTCACTTTTCAGGCTTTAAAAAGGTCCTTGTGAAGGAAAATTGTTTAGGAGAAGAAACTACTTACTGCCAAAACCACACAGCAATGGAAAATAAGCAAATAGATTTATTATAATCTGAAAATATGCACATCAAACTACATGTCAGTATCAGTTAAGCATGATGGTAGAGTTGTAATCACAACTACTAACTGCTATAGTCTAAGCTTGCTGCTCTTCCAGTAATATCTATTATTTGAATGTGTTTGTTATGTAGGTAAATTTGGTAACCATAGCAAATGGAACAGTTTCTGCTTATTGGATAGATAGAGCTTTGCAATAAGCTAGAGGTTTGCTCGAGAAGCAGCCTTTTCAGCTGCTTATCTAAAACCATGCTGTGCAGGCATATACTGTATCTCAGCAGAGAGTCCCTTATGACAGCTGCCTCTTCTACTCATACCCCTGAGCATTCCCAATCTAAAGATATACTGTTTTTGGCAAGTCCTTGGCTTGTCCTTAGGCCTCCTCCCAGAGACATGTCATAACACCAACTTTGGAAGATGTCTGAACAGCATCCTTATGAGACGTCCAAACCCTGTTAACATGCCCTTTCTGATTTGGAGTGGCAATTGTGCTTGGAGTACCTCCCTAAAGGTAAGCCCAGCCACCCTACGAAGTAATACTTGAGAGCAAGATTTCTATACACTTGAACCCTTCCACTTGAGGCAGCACCCTACTTCAAATCCAGAATTAGCAATCTATTGTTGTTCCTCCTGTGAACCTTGGTCTCATTTTTACACACGTGTGCCAACAGTGTCAACCATTGCTGCTCATTAACATTCATGGCTTTCCACTGCAGAGTGCTTTAACTACCTCTGCAGTTCCAGCTCCTCTGTCAGTGATATTCCTCCATATTGAGCTCTCTTTGAGTGTGACCAAAAGTTGTGCTCCGTAGCTTCACCAAAGCCCTCCCACGTCTGAGTTTCTGCTTCCACAGCTGCCTAAGCTGGGCTCTTGCTCCAGCTGCCTATGGAGTCCCACAAGCCACCAATTTCTGTAGCACTCCTTCAACTTGATGATTCCCTTCTCCACAGGTGTCTGCTATTAGGTTTGGGAGCTAACGCTGCATCTGGCACTAACCACATTACAGCCACAACTCTTTACAACTGCCTCTGCAAATAGGGACAAAACACAGACCATTCAAACTTAATGTCCCATGACTTGTCTCATTCAGAATACCAGAGCATCTTTAGGGAAAATGCCACACAAACATTTTCTCTTTACCTTTTTTTCGTATTTTTGTCCACTAGCTTGATTTGCATACTTCAAATAGATCAGTATAAAGTTACAGTATATGGTATTTGTTTTGGAGATCTTGAGCAAATACTTTGTCATTATTGGTAAATTTTGTCTAATATTCCTATGACTTTCATGAATTCTTCCATTTTTGCCTACCTTAAAATAACAATGACAAAAAGGTTCAAACTGTCATACCTCATCACCATGGGCAGAATCAGCCCATGGTGGCGTGGCGTCACTCTGGCAGTGGTGGTAAAAGGAGTAGAAGTAGGTTGGAGACCCATACTGAGCGTGGAGATCAGCGGTGGCGATTGCTGGTGCCACCCATTGGTGGTCAGTAAAAAGTGCTACCAGTGTCTTCCTGCGAGTTTCTGCGTTGTCACGATCAGCCCAGTCTGTGTACATGAACCTTCGAAGGATACGCATAAAATTAGCTGGAACCTAGTCTAAACATTTGAGGTGCGCTGTTAGAAGCATGAGGTGAGTGGTCGTACCATAACTGGGCTCAGCAGTTTTAAACAGTACAACAAAGGCAACTGGGATCATATCCACATGTAAAAACTTTAAGCACATTGAAAACAGCCAAATCAACCACAGATGATCTTATATGATGTGAGCCAGTGGGAGCACACTGGATCTGTCGAGGTGCAAAATCCATTAACAAAGTGTTCATGTCAACCGTGATGTTATAGTTTCTGACATCTTTAAAGGGAGAGTTAACCACAGTGAAACAGGAAGTGGCTGCAGAGAAGTTACACTCAGAGGCGAATGATGATCAGACTAATGAGTACAACAAATTGACTAATGGGTGTTACTGTCCACAACAGAAGTCTGGCGAGCGCTGTGTTGCTTAGCAACACAGCACTTTGTGCGTGCACTGTAATTTTTGTGTGTTTGTGGGCTTCTGGTAACATTTGTACAGTATATCTGGGTTTATAGCACTCAGAGATAAATGGATTATCTGCCATATTTGTGCAAATTAGTGGTCATTTGATGGTTCATTGTTTACACTTTAACTCTATTAACTCCTCATGGGAGGTGCGATATCCCAACACCTGTTCAAAATTTTACAAACAAGATATCCAATCAGGGTTCAGTTTGAGTTGCACAAAGATACTGCTGAAGTTTACTGAAATAGCCAATACAATGTATATATAATGTAAAAATAACCAGATAACGACACTGGTTTCATTCTGTTGCCACTGTGTTTGCTCAGGATGGGAGACTGCAATGAAGCCAAGATTCAACTTGTCTGCTGGATTCCTTAGATAGAGAACTTTACTAATTGGCTTTTATGTATGTGAATGTTCCTGTAAAGTGCCCTGAGACAACTTTGTTGTGATTTGATGCTATATAAATAAAATGAATTGAAAAACTGAATTGAATTGAATTCTGTCATGCTGTTTTACCTTTAAATAGATTTTCAGCACAGGTTTTATGGCAACATTTCTACATGCAAAAACTGTGTTCAATGGAAAACTTTTGAGATGCTGATTGGCAGACATTGCTTCTGCACTACTCAGCCACGTCACTCTTTATGTCAAGCTGCATTAATAGATTGCTGGCTGTCTCATCATATTTATGGAGGTCATATTATGCTTTTGGGCTTATTCCTTTTAACCACTGAGCTACATAACTGTTGTGCGTTTGTTAAAGATCTGCAGAGATGCAAAGTTCAAATCAAAGACTCGTTCCCAAATGAGCGCAAATCATAGTTTGTCTTTTAAGGCTTTCTTTGCTTAGTTGCATCACCACAAGTAACTCAAACTTTCTGCCAATCTGCACCTTTTTTAAGTCTCGAACAAAGAATAAAACAGTTGTCTATTTTGTTAACCAGTCAGAGCCGACATCATTTTAAAGATTTCAACGAGTCAGTAGCTAAAACATATTTCAGAAATATCAGGACCAGGACTGCAGTAGCAAAGAGATTTATGGGAAAAATTGTTAATTAGCATAAAAGATGGATTCATCCTAGCAGATAGACAAAATAAAAACCTTGATCCTTTAAATGTGCAAGATAAAAGTTTTTTAATCAGTGGTTCCATCTACATGTAAAGTAATTTTAAGCCAGAAGGATGCTAATAATTGTTTTAATATCGTCAAATCCTTCCTTAAATAAACACAAATATGAATTCAATAACTCACCGTATGCTCTCCCGCAGTGTGTCTCGGCCTTCTGGGTATCCATACAAACTATCCACAAAGTCCGACACGGCGAAGTCAAAGTCTTCAGCTGTGACGCCATCCTCTGAGTCCACGATGCCCTCCACAAACTTCACACCTTCACCCTGATTAACCCCCAGCATCACATCGTAGTTCAGAAACTCTCCCTGCTCCATCAGAATCTGGGGATCATCAGGTATAACATCGCCATCAATCACCGGACCAAAAGCGGTATGATATTTGGCCGGAGTTATGTTCTGCTCCACAAGTTCACGGTAACTTCGGCCCTGGAGGCAGGCAACCAGTTGAGTGCTGTCGTCGATGCCACAGCCCACCCTCTCGCCGAGCTGTCGAGCATACTTGCTTGGCTGATAGTTGACGGCCCAGCTGGCTAAAGCGCTGCCACTCTGGATGATGGCTCTGTGGAAAAGGTCTGATACACAGGATACACATGAATCCTAAAATACTGGAGTATGAACTCATGCACTGAGGCATGCATACACGTTTATGAGTGCATGTGCACCTAAACACACACACGTGTGCATGAATGAATGCACAAATGGCTGCACATTGGAGGGTTACACAACATGTTTAAATGAAAAAAGCAAAAACAAAACACATGCATTCAAGTTTAACGTTTCAATCTAATACAGCATATGTTGATAAGTTAACAAACAGGCTTTTGAATTTAAACAATTTTGTGTAAATTTTATGGTTTGAAAAACAAAAAAAAATTGTCTTTTGATTCAAAGAAGACACTGAAACATCTCATAACCTTATACATGGGAACTTTAATGCACCATATTAAGTTCAAGTTTCTTTAATGTTGTTCGCGTCACATGTGGTACATGAGGTGGAACAAAATTGTGCACTCAAGGTCCTTGTTACACCCAAAAATAGCAAAAATATAAAGTATAAAAAGAAACAGTACAGGCATGCCCAAAGTGGGGCCCGCAGGCCCAAGTTGGCCCTCCAAGCGGTTGAGTTGGTCCGCCAAGCTGTCCTCATTACTATATTAAAACTTCCTTTGAAGAATCAACGTGTTTACACTCATTGATTCCACCCATTGACTTTAATGTTAGCTGGCCTGACCACTGTAATGGCACTACACAGATCACACAGTAGAGTGGCTAATATGTGTATTTTTTAAATGATTTTAGTCATTTATATTCTTGTGTTTTATTCTGACAGACATCCTACCTTCCCTCGGCAGCTTCCTGCCACTGAATAGCATTTTCCTTTGACAGAGCCTGGAGCTCAGGCTGCTTGTCATTTTGAGGGACAGTGGTTGGATGCTACACTTGTATTATTGCATTTGGCCTGCAGCCTTCTGAGATTTTAAATTTGGCCCTCTCAGGGAAAACATTTGGGCACCCCTGGACCCCTGGAATGGATTTTTAGCATCTAAGATATGCACTGATACACGCTAAACGAATGCTAAACGGTACGCTAAAAGATGTAAGATATACGCTAAACACTAATAATGTAAAACAATACGGTATATTAAACAGCAGCCCGAACATGAGTCTGTGGTGAGTAGATGGGTATGAATGAATACAGCAGCATGACATAATCAGCAGCATGAGATCAGCAGCATGGATAATCAGCAGCACAGATAAGTAACATATCACCAATTAAAGTGTTACAGTGTTTTTTCTGGTTAGGGATTTAAAGTCTAACAGCTTCAGGGTAGAAGCTGTTCCTCAGTTTAGTGGTTCTACAATTAATGCTTCGTAACCATCTGTCTGAGAGGAGCGGGGCAAAAAGTATATGTGCTGAGTGAGTGGGGTCATATCTGTGTACATGCATGTGTTTGAGGTATATATGATGTAAAATAAATAATAAAGACTGTCTGAACTTGTTTAATTCTCTCACCCTCTGAGTAGTGGGACAAAGTCAGCAAGCTCACACAGGAAGCCCCGGCCCCAGAGCCAAACACTGTGACCCTGGTCGGATCTCCACCAAATGCTGCAATGTTCTCCTTCACCCAGCGCAAAGCCTGAATCTGATCGAGCAAGCCATAGTTTCCTTTCGCTGCCTGGTCGCCCGTGCTCAGAAACCCTGCAGAACAGCAGAGAGAAAGAGCATATTAAAAAATGTTGATAAATAAACACATAAGGCATAAACATGTGAGCCAAAATTAAGAAGTTCATTGTTAATTTGAGATCAGGCATCCACAGCTGACAACACCACAACAGACAAGAACACAGGACTACACGCATGTTTAGCTGACAGGTGGAAAAAATCGATTATTCATGCGTTGTGATTACCGCACCTTTAAAAGAACGTTGGAAAATAAATGTGTGGTTGTCCTACACTTTATCACATTAGTTCAAATCATAAAGGTATTAAAATTTGTCAAAACTCACACAAGCAGAAACCACACGCACATGTCATTATATCCTCAGCTGCCCTCTATTCCCTCCACTACTGAGGTTATTAGGTAAACACAGAGGAGCCTAATGGCTTGCTCCACCACAGTGTATCTCATTACTGCAGAAGCTCATTTCTGTGAACCTCGAGCACATAAGAGCGTAATAAGCATCAAAGGCAATGTTAGAACAAAACATTTCCTCGCTTGTGTGAATTTTTTCAGAACATCCATTGAAAGAAAAAGGAAAATATCGATAATATATTTCATCTGAGGGGTTCCACGTTGACTTATTTTACTTAATTAAATACTTTTGTGCAACAATTGGGTAAATCTCTATTAAAGTTTTTTGCATTTTCACAGAGGTGTGCTCCGTTCTGAAACAAGTTATCACTTCTAAGTTATTACAGTTAGAGGAATAAAAACTATTACTTGTATATTGCTTTATGTAAATGGGCTCACCTCATGCAGTCGACTCATGATGATGAAAAGGAGGGGGAGGAAGCTGATGCTGTTACCCAAGCTGATGATGATGATAGTGGAGACTGAATTGGAAATGGGGTGAAGACAGATGATGGACATAAAGACACAAAAGAAAATGGAGGAATGTCTTTTTTTAGCTCATAATGATTATGGCATTTGCTGCAGCTGCATAATTAGGTTTTACCCACAAGCAACATGCAACAAAAGCCAGCATCTAATAAAAGCCTAACAAAATCAAGGTTTAAAGACGTTTTACTCAATCCTTTTAAAAATATATTTGCCTGAGGCAGCCTGATAGTTAAGTTGTTAAGGAGCATCCTACACGGACACAAATGCCCTCAAGCAGTAAGTCCCAGGATCAATTGTCAGCCTGCTGGACCTTCACTGCGTGGCTTTCCCACATTTCCTGTTTTCACAGCCCCTGTCTAATAAAAAAAAAAATCACATTATCTACTTAATTAAAGTGGAGCCAAGATGTGGTGTTCCATCTGGGAGCAAAACCTCTCTTACAGTTTGCAAATGCTCTCTATATGTATAAAAATAAGCTCAGAAATGCTGCAAAAGTCATTCCTTTAAAGTAAATTTTGATATAAAATGCATCACATCAGATATTAGTTTCAAATGCATGTTTTTTGGTATAAAATAATATCATCATTTAGCCTGTTTTCTGCTTCTGGTGCATTTGACTCAATGACTAGAAGGACTCTGCTCACATAACTCACTGCTCATAGCCTCAGTGCTGTCAGGTAAACGGTGCTTTATTGCATTAAATGCTTTGACCGTCATGTGGCCCCACTCATGCCTTGTCATTTCAATAACTGCAGCCACAAAATGCCAAAATGCTTGTATTTTTATTCTATTTGTTCAGCTCCTGAGCTTTGCAGAGCTGTCTAAAATTAGAAAATCCAAAGGGAATCAAATTGTTGCTGTTCAGAGAGCACTGACTCGGAGAGCCACGGAGTTAAAACGGATCAGATTTGGGTTGATGCTAGGAGTGGGGGGGTGGGGGCTTCAGGGGGTTTATTTCCTCCAGGGACACCCATTATGAGCATGTTTTCTTTCAAAACACAAGTGCTCAGGGTAGAAACAAATCACTCACGGTTTTCACATTTTATAGCTCATTGAAGGATTAAATAATCCAGATGGTAAATATGGATTAACTTTGTTTACAGTGGTGAACTGTTGTGTTGTGATATGTGACCCTAAACAAAATGGTTTTGTTCAATGGAACACTAATGATACAATTATGTGATTAAGCAATTATTAAGTATAAAGATGCACCAGTCTACCTTCTAAAACTCATTGTATTTTATTCAACATAAACCTAAAGGATCATTTCCAAAACTAAAGAAGTAAATTAACTTTTTGAGTATATGCTATTACTCTGGTTTGACAAAGTCATCATTAAACCCTGATAAATTTGTTGATGTGCGCTCTATTTATCACCCTGCCTTGCACCAAACAGCAAAACAAAGCATTGACTAAAAAAGCACTGAGGCAGAAATGATTAAAACGGTGACAGTTAAATATCATTTGTCCTGATTGAGCATCAGTATCATACCATGAAGATTAAAGTTAAAGCTCAAATGTTCTGAAGTGGAGTCTTGTGGAAAGGTTATGAACAATTAATATCTAACCTGGCAGCTGACACGTAGCTCATAGAAAACCTAAATTTGGAGAAATAAGTACATTCTGAGTGGATTTACAAGTCAACAGCTAGTTTGAGTGAGGCCAAGATGAATTTGTACTGCTGATGTCTTGGAACAACTACTCTCAAACACATCACTTTATGTGTATTTTTTTTTTTTTTTTTTTGCTGTAAACCTTTAATTAATTGTTAATTTTGCATTACACAGTTAGTACAGTAAAAATATTATGACATTTCTTCAGGATGTGTCCCAGGCTGCACTGGAAATGCCACAGCTCCTCACAGTGGCTGTTTGCACTTGCAACAAACATCATTTGTTGCAAAATTGTGAAACTACTAGTCTTTTAAACTTTTACAATGTAACATTAACACGAGTCACTATGAAATACTGAAATATGAAATTTTCAAAGATGGTAGCAATCCTTTTTGATCTTGTGCCCGCTCGAACTAGCCGTTAGTTTGTCACTCCAGCCAGAATTAAACTTTATTTCACCAAATTGAGGTTGTTGGAAGATCTACAGCAGTTAGTACTAGTTTGTAACCTTTCCACAGAACCCGACTTCAAAATGCCAAAACTATGTCTTTAACATCTTTAATCGATATATTGGTTAGAATATAAACTCCTATCGAATCCTTCAAAAATCAGAATTTATGTGGAAAAATTACATCTACACAAAAAACAAATAATGCACCCCCCCATACACACACACATACACACACACACACATATACATACATATACAATTTATATAAATAATTAACTTTTACCTAAAACTCCCAAGCGATAGTTTAGTGTTATGACAATAACGTTGCCATAACTTGCCAACACGCTTCCATCCATCATGTTGCCAGTGCCTTCAGAATAAGAGCCACCATGGACGTAGACCATCACCGGCCGCTGACCCCCCTCCTCATGGATGTCTGCAAGATAAGTAGGTAGGTAGGTAGGTAGGTAGGTAGGTAGGTAGGTAGGTAGGTAGGTAGGTAGGTAGGTAGGTAGGTAGGTAGGTAGGTAGGTAGGTAGGTAGGTAGGTAGGTAGGTAGGTAGGTA